GACCAAGCGCTCCAACTTGCTGCCGGCTCTTGACTTGGTAAACTTCTAGGCGTTGAGCAAGGCCTGCCGGCCTCGTCGGCTTGAGTTTCATCCACGTTCGCGCGATGAAGAGCTTCGGCTTGAGGTTGCCAGGCTTGTGTTCCAATTCACGCAACTCCCAAACTGTCATGCCATAGTGGCCCACACGGAAGCACGAATTACATTAGGGCCAGTCACGCTCTTGCCGATCGTCAGTTTCCGCTTCTTGGGATCTTTCGGCCCAGGAGCTGCTTGCTTCTGCGCCCAGCCTGGAGCCTGGCACGGACTGCTTGTCTTTGGATCACTGCCTTGGGGGCGGGTGTGACATCCCCTACCCCCCTCGCCCAGGCCTGAAAAATATTTCACCCGCGTGGCTGAAGACTGCTGCGATGTGGGGGAGGGACATCTGTGAAATTTCACCGGGTCGTTTGGATGTGACATCAGGCGACACGCAGACATGTTTGGCAAGCGACAACGTCAGTCCGTCTGCGCTTGTGCTTCGTGCCCTGATGACGCTGGATAGACACCAATTTGACGCCTCTGCGGGGCTTACGCAGGTGGGCGGGCCTGCTTTGTGGGCAACAAGCTTGTTGGCTTCAGGGTTGGAGTTTATGCTTTGCTGCGTTTTGTCTTCCACGGCTTCTTTACAGTGTTACAGGATCTCCAGATAATCACTGGGACCCCAGTCCGGTTGGCGGCAGCCTGTCTGAGGTGATCATTGACGCAATAGCCGTTGCTGGACGCCTGCTGGAGGAAAGCATCAACAATTCTTGGGCAGCTTGTGTCCGGCTCGTCCCTGTTGCTTTTCCATGATGTCGAACGGAGAAGCAATACTTCGGAAGATAAAGCTATCATCAAGGCCGCCCTGGGACAATGAATCCAGGCCGAAAGAAACAATCTCGTGCGCCCCCACCCCTTTTCAAACCAACCGGACAAGATGCAAAGTCGGATCCGCCTTGATGGCATGGTCAATGCAGGTTTGACTTTGCCAACGGGAAGATACCAGACAGGCATCCTTCATGACGGTGCAATGTTGCAACCCGGTAGCCACGAGAACATTTTCATCTGGTTCCCAGTTCCTGACCGCCACAGCACGGAAAAGGGCTGCGGTTGCTCATGAGTCAAGAATCCAAGGTGTGAAGTTTCCTAGAAATCCATCCGAATGTGTACAAAGTGACGGAAAAAAATAATTCGGATCAAAAATAAACCACGAAGTTTTAAAAAATGAAGGCAAGATCAAAAATGAAACCAGCACTTATGCAACGATGCTACAGAAAGGGTTGGGGTCAAAAAACTTAACCTGGATCAGTGATGCTAGTCGCAGTAGTGGTAACCGTAGTAGTAGTAGTAGTAGTAGTAGTAGTAGTAGTAGTAGTAGTAGTAGTAGTAGTAGTAGTAGTAGTAGCTCAGTAGTAGCGGTAGTCGTCGCCGTGGTGGTGGTGCTCGTGGTAATGGTGGTGGTAGTGGTAGTGGTAGGCCTTGTGGTAGTGGCAGTGGTAGTGGTGGTGGTAGTAGTAGTAGTAGCAGCACCAGCACTAATAGTGGTGGTAGTGCCAGTGGTAGTGGTAGCAGTAGTAGTAGCGGTAGTAGTAGTAGTAGTAGTAGTCGTCGTCGTCGTCGTCGTTGTGGTAGGAGTAGTAGTAGTAGTAGTAGTAGTAGTAGTAGTAGTAGTAGTAGTAGTAGTAGTAGTAAATCCAATAGTAATACTATTAGTAATACTAGTAGTGCAAAAATAGTACTGGAAATACTAGTAGCAATGGTAGTACCAGTATCATTAGTAGTAGTAGTGGTAGTAGTAGTAGTAGTAGTAGTAGCAGTGGTAGTTGTTGTTGTCGTCGCAGTAGTAGTAGTAGTAGTAGTAGTAGCAGTAGTAGTCGTCGTAGTAGTCGTCGTAGTAGTCGTCGTAGTAGTCGTCGTAGTAGTCGTCGTAGTAGTAGTAGTAGTAGTAGTAGTAATTGTAGTAGCACTAGTACTAGTACTCGTTACTAGTACTAGTACTAATATTCGTCGTCGTCCTAGTAGTGGTGGTATTCCCGAAACGCGCCAATAATACGGCGTGTTTTTTTTATTACTACATATGTGTACACCTGTTCATGTGCATAACCCTCTCTCTATCTCTCTATCTATCTTTCTGTCTATCTATCTATCCATGTGGTAAATAATGCAATGAAGGACTTGCACAAGTTACCTAGACACTCTTCCAAAATGCATCAACGTTATCGATGGAAGTGCTATTGTAGCGTGTTCACGAAGCAGTGTCTGATTTGGATAACTGATATATGATATGCATACCTGTACATTTATTTCTATGTGTGTATGTGTATATATATATATATATGTACATATGTATATACATATATGTGTATATATGTATAAGTATGTGTGTATATATATATATATATATATATGTACATGCGTATATACAAATGTATTTGCGTGTGAGTGTTCATATATAAAATGTACATATATACATTCGGAATAGATGAGCATGTACGCTCTTTGTGTATATATACATATGTATAAGTATACATAAACTTTATACACATATTTGTATGCAGTATACACTTAAGTTCTCATAGATGCATGCATGCATGCATGTACGTATACCTTGATTCTTTTTCTCCTTTTCTCCTTTCTTCCTTCCTTCCTACCTTCCTTGGGCCTTCCTCCGGAGCCTCCTTCCTGTCTTCCTTCCTTCCTTGTCTCCTTCCAGGCTTCTCATTCTTTCATTCCTTCCTTGCTTCCTTCCTTTCTTCCCTCCCTCCCTCCTTTCTTCCTCCCTCCCTCCCTCCTTCCTTCTTCTCGCCTATTCAGCTTCCTTCCTTGCTTCCTTGATTGTCCTGCTGATCTATTTTCTTGATCCTACTTTAAATTTGTTGATCCTAGTTCGACTTTGTTGAACCTGATTGTTTTGATTCCTATCCCATGTATACACGGCCGGCGCCACACTATCGCAACCTGGGTGCTGCCGATGCAAGACATCGCTGCCACGCCTGCGACGTGTATGAAAGAGTCGATGACATTCCCTGTGACATCGTCTCGCACTGTAATCAAAATCCCTCCATGGAGATGCTTCCTTCCCCGTACATCCGTTTGTACTTCGCACGCAAAAGACCATCCTTTACATCCTAAGCGTCGAGGATGCTGAAGAAGCGCCGGTTTTTGCTGTGGTAAGGCGCGAACTTCGACAAGACCAACGACGTGAGGCTTGTTAGACTGTTTTGCTGCAAGCTGCTGCAGGCTTGAGGGACCGATATGCTCTTTCCAGGGCATCACAGCTGTGGAAGAAGAGGTCCAGCGGAGAAGAAGTAGGGCCTGAAGATGATCACGATGATGGACCAAGATTCGGTTCAATGCTTTGCTTCCACGTCACTGTCTGCGGCAACCCGCGCATGAAGCCGCGCCACATCGCGCGAAGCAGACCACTGGGCGGTGAGGGTGGCTTTCCAAGTGTCGTCATCAACGTCGTCCGGTTTGTTCCACGAGTCTCTCTTCCACGACACACCGCGCAGCTCCTCCTCGTGCCAAGAAGCAGCGGTTTGCACGCGCAACGGCTTGTGACTTGTGACCAGAAACCTTGTACTGCGAAGCATTTGCACAGCTGAACTGGCGTTGCTGTAGACATGGTCGATGGTGCGAATGCCGTCCCACCTAGCGGGCAAGCTCTGCAATCCGGCGACCGGACTGGCTTGCAGAACCTCAGCAGCATGCTCGAGGGGCTCGCCTGAGACTTCGCCGACAACAAAACCTCCATCACCAACTGCTGGTCCGCCGCCTCTTGGGCTGCCTGCAAGCCTGCTCCGTTGAACGTCTGCTGTGCTGTGGCAACTGCTGCTGGCCTGCAAGTGGTGCTGTGAAAAGCCTTCAGCTTTTTGCTCTCGGGAGGCTGAACAGCGTGCTTTGATAGCCTGGACTCCTTCAGCTCTGGTGAACCGCTTCTCACCTTCATCTTTGATGGCCAGTGTGAGGCCATTGTTGTTGATTGTGCCAAGCCGTGCGATCTCTGAAGCTGCATTGCATGCACGACGGCTTGAGCTGTCGTCTGTGGTCTGTTTCGTCCTGCTTTTTCGGTTTGACAGCCTCCGGCAAGCCGTGCCGAATCCCGCCAAGCGGACCACTAGGCCGCGAGCGTGGCTTTCCAAGTCTAGTCTTTTGCTCAACGTCTTTTGGTTTGTTCCACATGTCTCTCTTCTGCAGCGCACAACTCCTCCTCGCGATCCTCGTGGTAAGGAGCAGCGATTTGCATATGCAGCGGCTTGCGACCGCAAGCAAAGCTTTGACACCGCTGCGACACGGCTTAGAAGCAGACCACTGCTGAGAAGCAAATGTCGAAAAAGAGTAGGAGCGCTTGCCCACCGCCTCTGACTTTGGAGCAGACGACGCAGCGAAGAAACGCCGACAAACAGATGACTTGATACGTAACATTACATTTCTGGGAACAGCAACGTCGATTGCTGCACAAAGCCGCCCTGGCTGGGCTATCACGGAGGCCATCATGGCCAAAGGAGAAATTCCACTCAATAGCATCTCCTCATGTGTGTGTTTGGCTCACGCCGTCTACTGAAGCTCCAGCAGGGGCCATCTACATCAAAGGAGAGGGCACCACGAGCCAACATACGCTAGATGCCTGCCCGTTGCAAAGCATGCGTTTCCGTGCTTGTTTCTTGTTTGACGTTTGCTTCGATCTCCACGATTCCCGTTGCCACGTTTCTGCCGGGCCAGCCACCTTGAACAAATGGCGGTGTGCGAGCGATGATCCAATCGCAACATGGTAGCACGGCATGCAATGGAGTGGGTAACATGTTTAGCAAGCGATTTGGGAAGGAGATTGATGATGGCCGCGGGCAGATGGGTCCCCTCAAGGCCCTGAGGCAGCCGTTTGGAGCTCCAGGAAGCAAGGCCTCGGAACCGTTCCGAGGCACCGAACAATGCATGTTGGCCCAGACTGCTTTTTTGAAGCCAGTTGAAAAAGGGAGCCTGCTTCATTTACAGGTTGTGGACCACGTCTCTTCCAGGAATGCACACGAAACAGCCAATGGACATTTGATGACATGCGCGTGAGAGAAAGGGGCTGAGCAAAATTCAAAAGAAGATAAACATGACGAAATGAAACATATCTGTAAATAGAAACGTTTGGGATAGCGAAAACCAGCGAGTGCAGCAGTCAAGCTTATGCAACGGGGCCACCGAAAACTGGCCAGTTCGCACCCCTGCACTGCGATTCTGTTTCGGACTGCCGCTCCTAGGAATCTGTAATCCACAACCGGAAGCTTCTGACTAGGTTTGGCAGCCGGCAAGAGAAACACGAAACGGTAGAAAAACGGTGAAAGCCATCCTGATCCGCCTCCGCGGCACTGGGTCTTCTGCATCTGGGTCTCCTCATCGCCGTTGGGCTTCCACAGGCCTCGAGGCCGGGCCACAAGGTTGAAGGCCAAGGTTCGAGAGAACTGTGAACCCCGAGCCTTGCATCTACGAAGTCGTTTGTCTCCCGTTCCCATTTTCGCCCGAGCTGCCTCGATGAAGGACCTCGGCAGCGGCGTCGTGCACCTGGCTCGAAGTCTCTTGGCCCGAAAGTTTCATTGAGACAACCGCTGGCCATGTTGAACCCATGCGCTTGCCTTCTCCCAGCCGTGGAAGCGGCCGCGCTGGCTCAGCGTGCCGACAGCGTTTGGAAACGCATGATGGACCTTATTTAGGCGCTTGGACTGCTGCAACCTGACGCGGGTTAGCGGACCTTATTTAGGCGCTTGGACTGCTGCAACCTGACGCGGGTTAGCAGCAAAGGGGAAAGGCAGGGGGGGGGAAAGGACCTTATTTTCTAAAAACAACTGCATTACGCCCAATGCCATCGCGCAGTTACTCGGATCCTGTAACTCGCAGAAAGATTCCAAAACGGCTGAGCCGCATCGTGGAAGAGCATCTCGTTCCAGCGGTGCTTTCCTGGAAGGAAACTTCGATGAAAAAGAACGAGCCAACACAAGCCTTGAGCTTCTCTCCAAACCCTCTGAGTCGTGACTCCTCCAAGGACCATGGCCATCACGTTATGAAGGACAGGCCAGGTGCGGCCCGGATCCTGTGCCAGGAACTCGTTCCAAGGCAAGCCTGGGCTGTAACATCTTTGTTGTTGTTTGGCGCCTTTTTCCTCTGCCTGAATCCGAAGCCTCCGACCCCGCATTGCCGTAACATCTTTAGGGCTTTGGGTTGTAATGGTTGAGGCCCCGTTTCAACTAGCAGATGTACAACTCGAAGAAGAACTCCTAGTAGGAGAAGGCTGTCAGAGAGGCCCGCTAAGAGAGCTCCAGAGATATGTCTCAACGACAAAACAAAGCTTTATGTAGTCCGTACACTACAGTCACACCGAAGCATCTCAGCCAATCCAGAATCCAGCCTAAGCTTTAGGGTTTAGAGTAACATCGGTGGCATTGTTGATCGGAATAGCGTCTTGAAGCGAGTCATACCAAGGAAACCTGAAATAATGTCGGTGATCATGATCTTCGCCACGGGTGGTAGAAGAGTTGTAGTACGAGGAATCTGCGCTTTAGGTTTTACCCTAGCACAAGGTTTAGTCTTTCGGGCCTTTGGCGAACCTCTCTAAGACCAAACGCGAAACTCAACATAATCCCAGATTGAAGCCGCCTAGAAGCTATGAGTGAAGTTGGTGATGAACATCCAGGCCGCGGAGTAGCCGATGCGAGCGAAGACGGACACGGTGAACATGAACCGCCAGCCCTCGCTCAGGGGACGTCCCAAAGGGTAGGTGCCGAGCAGCCACACGCAGGCCCACAGCGAGAGCACGAAGGCATTGTGCTTGATGCGACGCGGAATCCACTTGCTCCAGAACCTCAGCTTGACGAGATTCTACATGGAAGCAAGAAACATCACCGGCACCATGAGGTGGCCTTGCTCCGAACTGTCAAGACCAAGTCTAAAACTAGTCAGTGAAGCCGGGAAGCTCCTTGTTGCACTTGCCACCTGCGCCCTCGTCGGGGAAGTGCATCCACCACTCCAAAGCAAACAGGGAGCCCGTGTCGTTCAGGCCGAAGAAGTGGATCACTGGGATGAAGGGCACGGTGAGCAGGTACTTGTACCAGTTGGAGCTCCATGGCCCGGCCCACTGCTGCAGGGCGTAGTGGAACTCCTCGGGGTCCCATCCGAACTCACCCTGGATCAGCAAGTCCACAGTTGAGGCATGATGCCTGTTGTGCTCGAGGACGAATTCCTCCCACGGCAAGCTGAAGAAGTCAGCAAAGGGGTGAGTCAAGAAGCGCTGCCACTCGTAAACCGGGAAAGTGGCACCATGCATCACATCGTGATCGATGTAGATGTTCTGGATGGCGATGTACGAGAAGGGGATCCCGAAGCAGAGCGTGCATGTCCACCAGTAGTCTGGGAAGCAAGCCAAGGCTACACAGTAGCCGATCACCATCAACACTTGGGTGAAGAAAATTGCCGTAAGTACATTCCACCTATAGTTGGGATAATACGAAAATGTAAACTTCTATTCCTTATTGGGTTAAGTACCCATAAACATGCAAAAAGCTACCCAACTATGACAAGGCTCATATAGATCATTTGCTCCTGCAGCGATTTTGAGGGGCTTCCCAAAGGATCTGCTCAGGACGCTTCAACATTTATTTGGACCTTCACTTCCTATCTTGCATCCATCGACATGGAGCGAGCAAATCAAACTTATGATCAAGCGCAGCATCCCGGTCCGGCGTGATCTTCGTGAAGAGGAATGCTAGATTCTGCGGCATGGGATCTGGCTTGTTCGGGGTGGGGAAGAGCCGGTTGGTCTTCAGGCTTCTGTTCTCGTTGTTCTTCTGAACGGAGAGCATCTTGTCGTTGCTCTGGGCAACGCCTGCTGCGTTAGGGTCCCCCTCGCCCGGCAGAGCGTTCTTCAAAGCCGCAATTTCATGGTCGTGCTCGTATTGAAAGTGAAAAAGGGTTCTGCCACACAAGCCTCCGAGATTGCTCACGAGGACTTGAGCAGCCGCATGCACTGAAAAACCAAATCAAACGTCAGGAAGGAAACCGCCGACCTCACGGCATGCAGCACGAATAGAGGCCAGAAACTGTAATCTTCCTTTAGCACAAGGTCGTGCTCGTATTTCTTCTTAAGCTCCTGAAGATTTTTTATTTTTGGCGGGGGTGGTGGTTGGACAGCATGCTCCTCAAGATGTAAAAGGTCAATACTAATAGCAATACTAATACCAATAAACAAAGGACACTGACTCAGCTCCTCAAGATACTCGTCTGCTCCGTAGAAAATCGAGGCCTTGCTGTGGGCAGCCTTGCCCTCCTTACCCAGGAGCGGGGCGCTGGTCGCCATGGATGCAATGACAACAGAAACAGGAACGGATCTTGAGCCTCACTTCTCATTGAACGCAAGGATTGCATTGCGTTTGCGTCGTGTTTGGCCCGGCGAACGCATCCCAGCTTCTTTCAAGGCATCTGTAGAACCCCGCACCCCAATCGAGGAATGCTGTAAGTTAGGCTTACCTTCACAACACTTGTAGCTAAGGAGCTTACCTGCACAAGGGAGCTATTCCCAAAGTCAAAACGAAAAGCTTCCGCCTTGACCTCCGAGCCTGACAGCCCGTCGAAGTTGCGTCCTTCCCAGGGGCATGAAAGAATGTGTGCAGTTGACAAGGCCTAACCATCTTACTCACACTGAGATCACCAGGAGGGGTAGTCCTATGAGCAATACCTTATGTAACAGTAACACTAATACTAACAACAAAGAAAGGAAATACAAGCAGCACTTATTTCTTTTCTTACATCTTCGCCCTAACTGAAGTTCTGCTGGCATTCGGCACTATGCAGACAATTATCGTAGTAGAGTGCAACGAGAGTGATGCTGACATCATCAACATCACCAACATGATAGTCACCACCACCATCACCAACATCTTCGTCACTAGTGTCATCACAGAGGCCATCATCAATACATGGTGGATTGCCTTGGTCTTCTTCTTCATCATCCTCGTCGTCGTAGTAATCGTAGTCGCTGGTCCGATGGTACGAAATATCATCATCAGCATGATGTAAATGCTGGCACAATCTAGCGCTGCAACACGATGCTCTGTGGCAGCTGGTAGTGGCATGCGAAAACATGTCACGCAACATTGTACTGCAACATTCAAGTGCTGCGCGACGCATGACCGCACCCCACCCCACCCCACCCATTGTATCTAATCGACGCAGCGCGAAAGACAGAGAGGCAGAGAGACGCAGGAGCCAGAGAGCGACAGAGAGGGAAAAGGAAATGGAGAGCGAGAGAGGTAATGAGAAGAAAACAGATAGGTGTCAACAAGAATGGCACGAGTTCACAACAGAAACTGCAAAGGCAATGGCATCTCAATGACAGTAATTTAGCACCTGAAAAATTGAGAAAGCAACAGAGATGTACATATGCGTATGCACATGTGTGTGTGTATACTGTATAGAGTAGAGAGAGAGAGTCAGAGAGAGAGAGAGAGAGAGAGAGAGACAGACAGACAGACAGACAGACAGACAGACAGCCAGCCAGCCAGCCAGCCAGCCACCCAGCCAGCCAGCCAGCCAGCCAGCCAGCCAGCCAGCCAGCCAGCCAGCCAGCCAGCCAGCCAGCCAGCCAGCCAGCCAGCCAGACAGACAGACAGACAGACAGACAGACAGACAGACAGACAGACGAGGTAGACAGGCAGGCAGGAAGGCAGAAGTGCCAGAGCAACAACTTAGCAAGTCTAACGATGCCGCTAACATAGGCGGGTCTAAAAGAGCCGATAGCCATAGCGCTGGAAAGCGTCTAGCACATTTATGATAGGATAAGCATAGGTCTTGGGTACTTGGAGCAAACGGACCAGTGACAGTATTCAAGTGAATCAACCTGCAGTAGACACTCCTCCGCTCAACCGACACTGGATGAACATGATGACATGTCCAAGGGCAACGCTTTCCCAAGATGAACGACAACAGTACAACTTAGTGACTCACGACTGATCCCGGGCCGGTCCCGGGATCCAGTCTGCAAAACCTCAACATCAACATCTGACTCACAACCTCGCATCGACACCGTACATGTGCATGATTACATGATGAAAGCCTGGAAGGTTTGTAAGTCTAGATTAATAACCCTATGGCTGCACATGGCTTCCTGGCAAATGTAAGTGTTGATACGCAATGTACCCATTTTGGGAGAGCACCTACAATTAACCGTGTGTCCGTGTGTTTCAATACTGAGCGGTTGACTTAGACGTACCGAAGCATGGCAGAATGGAGACATCAACGGCTCGCCTATCAGCTCGACCACCGCTCCCAAGCTGATGTTGAAAGTCTCCTGGGCACTTCTGGGCCGCACCTGCTTGAACCTCAAGGCCTTCCCAACACATCTTTGCATCGCGGATCCCACAGTTTTGGCAAAGACTTAAAGCTCGTGCATGCAACGTTGGGCCAACTGGTTTCACTTCGGGTGGTAAGCTTGATAGCATGTAGGTGTGGAAGCCCTTCCTCACGACATGCACTCACCAACTCCTGAACGGCTGATCTGATCCTCACTGTAGCACGATGGCATTGACGATAACGAGTCTACTGCATGGTCGACTCCGATTCCTCTGCAGAGGGTTTTACTGCGGGACAGGATGCCCCAACGAGGGCAGGCTACTATGGCGCATGCAAGAGTTTAATTCCCAGTTGACGTTGGACAAATGCTACGTCGGCACCGGGCTGGCAAAGCTACTACAGCCCCGATGACAGCCTAGAACTCTCGGCATCCTCAACACCAACAGAAGCAAGCTGACCCACAAAAGCCCCAAAATCCACGTACCCTGCTTCGTCCTCACCGTCCACCAGCATCCGATCCACAGTTGGTTGGTCCTCTTCACCTCGATGAGCCATGTGTTTGTATATATATATATACACACACACTATTTAACATACATCCACACACGCACACGCACACGCACGCGCACACACACACACACATGAATATACATACATACCTATGTATATATATATATGCATAAATACATTTACATATATGCATGTGTGTATGTATACAAGTACACAAACATATATAGATATGTGAATCTTTACATACTTATCCATGTATGTATACGTATACACGAACCTAAACCCCTGTTCTGATCAGACCATGACTTTGAAATAGTCTGCATCTTAATCGCTGGCACCACCGCCACCTACGGAGAGTGCCGTGTCTCATGCATGCACGCCTCACTAGAGCAACAAGCGTCCAGCAGTAAGCATTTTGATCTTTTCGTGCGAAGCGAAGAAGCCATGGGTGCTGGACAACCATGGTGATGATAAACAAATGTCAATAGGAACAGACGCAAGGGAAACAACAACCTCTATGATCACGGTCGTCGGCGTGACCATCACGATCATCACCCCGAGCCGGAGCAAACCGCCGTCTGACCAGCATTAGCATCATTAGCACCATCCGGCAGCATTACCACCGCCATGACCAGCACCTGCAGCGCCACAGCACCAGCACCGGCACCTGCACAAGCACCCGCACCAGCGCCAGCATCACCATCACCATCAAAATCATCATCACCCTGGTCCATTACCATCATCGTCATCATGATGACCTATACGTTCAAATCAAGACTGCTGAGACCAGTTGCTGAGGAACGTGAAGCCGAAGGGCGACACAGGTGGGAGGCCTGCTGAAAATTGTGCACGTACTGCTCAGGTCACAAGTCTAAGCGCATATAGGGGCTACAGAAATTTCAATGGGGTCTTCGGGTATGTTAGGAATAGCAATGCTGAATTTTCCGGGCCGTTTTGAAGGTTGATAGATCTTGCCTAGTCCGACTGGCGGCTTGCTAGGCCTCAGTGCCTTAAAATCAGGAAGGATTCAATACCTGGAGGGTCTAGGGGCTTTGGGGTTTTAGGGTTCAGGGTTAGGATTTTGGGTTTAGGGCTCAGGATTTGGGGCCCGAGATGTGAAGCTTGTTGGTCGCTTGTGGTAGGATACGTCTCTCACATCTGCGTCTGTTATCATGACCTGCTTCGCGACCTGCACTAGCTTGCTGCAACTACCAAGCCCCTCGCAGAGCGGGTCAACGTTCCTTGGAAGAGAAGCAAACAAGACAGAGACTGGACACCTTTGAGATTGATCTGGGGTGCCGCTGCGATCATTGAAAGCAAAGTGCTGGACATTGGAGCGGCCTGAATCTGATATTTCGTCCAAGATCTCAAGGCCCGGGACATAGATGCCTGAGTAGCAATCAAGAGCTGCACTGTAACATCATATACTGTACTGTAATATTACATATATATATATATATATATATATATATATATATATATATTTGTATTTATACTTACGCATGTAGATATATATATATATATGTATTTGTTTCTTTAGATATATTGTGATGTACCACAACATAATGTATCGCCTTTTGCCCGGCAGGATGAAATGCCAAAATCCGAGTTGCTCATGTTCTCTGCGTTCGCAGGGACGGTGAAGGCATCCGCGATGGAAGACGAAATCGTGCTCGGGATTTCCATCCTAGGTGACTGACGTCTGGAGTCTCTGCTGCTCCGGGGGTTCATGCTGCGAACTCAGTCACATCCTGAAGCTAGTCCAATTCTAGGACTGAACCGCCCATAGCGCAGAGAGTTCAGAGCGAGCATTTCGCACGCAACAGACAGTGACAAAAGACCAGTCGCGAAGTAGACCCCAATCCCAACTCCCAAACCACAGACATCTGGGGATTTCGTGACCTCTGCCGATGCGACCCGCCCGAATCACGACCACGAGCTTTGAACTCCCGTCCGAAACCTTGAACCTGGGCCAGCAAATCACAGAACCTCTGACCTTCAGACGCGAACCCTCTAAACCCTAGACGCTCACACCCTAAAACTCTACAGCTCCAAAGTTCTAGACCTCTTGAAACCTCAAACGCGTAAGCTTCTAGTTTCCAAACTAACTCACATGACTCCAAACCCCAAAGCTTCACCACTAAACTCGACCGCGTCACTTCTCGAAGTTCGGGGGCTTCACCAAGCCGAAACGGGCGGTAGAGGAATACTCCGTGTCTAGGCGATGCAGGGTGTAGGGTTGGAGGTTTCGGATTTAGAATTCTTGGATTCATGGTCCCTTTTCGCTTCAGAGCCGAGGGTTTCCAGAGTTTCTGGGGGTTCTGGCTTGAGGACCTTGGGAAGAAGATACTATTGGAGTCGGAATAGCTAGTGCAGCTTGCTCTTGTCGTTTTGACTCCTTGGTGTACAAGTAGGGGTTTGGCATTTTGCCGTTGATTTGGGGTTTGGGCTCAGACAAGGCCTGATGGTCAAGCACTGTGGGCTTTGAAGGTGTGGGTC